AGGGTCTCGCTCTGTTGCCAGGCAGGAGTGCAGTGGCACAATCTTGGCTCACTGCAACCTCTGCCTCCCAAGTTGAAGTGATTCTCCTGCCTCAGCCTCCTGAGTAGCTGGGATTACAGGTGCACACCACAATGGCTCATTTTTATATTTTCAGTAGAGACAGAGATTCACCGTGTTGACCAGGCTGGCCTGGAACTCCTGGCCTCAAGTGATCTGCCCACCTCGGCCTCCCAAAGTGGTGGGATTACAGGCGTCAGCCACGGTACCCGGCCCTCCTTTCTTCTTTATAGTAATTTCTCATAATGCTCACCTGAACACCTCCTTTATATACTTCTACCATCCTTCTTATAAAAATGATTCTTAGAGGTAAAAGTTTTATTATGGACAGAATTGTACAATGGAGATGTTTATGTGAGAAAACTATCTCTGGATTTATTAGAAGCTTTGTAGGAGATATTGATGACCTTTGCTGATTTATTAAGGAATGCATAGAGTAAGTGGTAACTATGAGCTCTGAGCTCCAGTGGCTCCCTGAGGGCTAGTAATTATAGCGATTTTGATTAGAGGCTAACAAGGGTTCCAGGTTGGGCCTCCCATTCTGTGTCTCCAAGTGAGGTTACCAAGGTCCAAGACCTGCCCTTTCAGTTTATGATTTGAGTACACTCATTGAGGGTGATAAGGACTTTGGGTAGTTAAGCCAACTTAATAAAACTTGCAGGAGACTAATGTACACCTGAAAAACAATTTAATAATTTACTTTACAATTATAACTGCCAGCAGACCAGACATTTCTATCAGCCTATTGATACATTCTGTCCATGGTAGATAAACTTACCAGGGAAACCAAATTAAGACCAGAAGGTTGGTTGACTATAGAGGAAATTATTGTTGTGTGGAGATACTTGCTGTGATAGTCTGTGACATGGTTTTCCATATTAGACCCCAACTAAATCTGCCTGGTACCTTACACACCTCGTTGGTCAAAATGTTACTTCATGCTTCTGCAGCTAGAGACACGATGACAAAATTTTAAACTTCATAATTATCACTTTTCTGGTTGGCATTTCTCTGCTTTCTCATGTCAATAAGTGTTTTCAAATGTAATTTAAGTTTAAATTTGTTTGATTTTAATTTTTTTCCATCTGGCCTTTTAGTGACATCTGGAGAGACTGCTTAACCAAATTTTTCAGACTGTCTCTAGATCAGGGGACTATTTCCTGTAACCTGTGTAATGTCAGTGTATGAGGAATCCGTATTTCTATTCTAATAATGTCAATATGACCTTTCCTAGTATCTTATGCCTGAAATAGTCTATGCTTAACTTATACGTTTGGAATGCTCTGCACCCTTGGCACAATGGGAACAGTTTTTCTCTTAGGGCACTCAGAATCGTTACTGGAATGGCTCCATTGCTTATACAGTGAACACCTTGGATGATGCAGTCACTTCTTCAGATTTCAGGCAGAAATTTACTTGAATTAATGTTTGTAATTTGAAACAATCGTGTGCTAACTTAAGTACCCTCATTCCATCTTCGATGAGTAACTTGCTTACTCTAGCCTCTATGGCCATTCTAAGAACTGAACGTTCTTGCCCATTTTATCGAGGTTGGTCAACTCAACTTCACAGATAAGACAGTGCACTTTGTGTATACTCTTTTATTATAAAATAGTAACCCCATATTCTAGTAAGTTGGAGAACGGACAACTGGACTTGGACTTAGGTAACCTGGGATACTAGTCCTGCTATTCTATTAACTATTGTGTGGTCTTGGCTTATATTCTGTTATCTGCTGAAATGCACTTTGTCCTTTCCTTTGTTATAATTTTCAAATAGCACTTATAGAGCAAACAGTTGGCTTTCACATCTGTTTATACAACTAAACCTTAAAACAAATATTAGTCTATTAAAGCTTCATTGTATTAGACTGTTTCTCTCTTTTCTGGACCTCTCTTTTTCTCTTGTGATTGAGTCTAAACTTAAGAAATTTGGCTTATAAAACTTTTTAAAAAACACATTTGAAGTTTAGGAAAAGTTTGGTCATATTTCCTTAGCTATTTTGGCAACACTTTGGGAATGTATTTTCCCTCCTATAACAACTTCATAAGCTCATAAATGTAATTTATACGATTGTCTTAGAGGCAGCCTGTTTTGCTAATTTTAACCTCCAAAATGATATAGAGTATAAGCTAGCGTAAACAATATTTATTCTGACCAAGCATCTACAATTTGTTATCTAGTCATCTGTACACAAAATATTTATAGCTTCTTTCCAAATGTATTCACAAAAAGAAAAATCAACTCTTTTCTGGATATGTCTTTAAATAAATGTAGACAATTCTAGAGCCTAGTGATAGGATTACCATTTTCAAAGTTTTGAATGACATATTTTAGCATTGGTAAATATCAGGGGACAAGCAACTCTTATAAATACCACGTGAATCCTTTTATTATAATAGAAGAGGCAAGCAGCTTGTGCTTACTTCATGTCCCTGGGTCATATTTTGGTAATCCTTTTAATATTTCAAACTTTTTCCCAACAGTATCTATTACGGAGATCACTGATCAGTGATCTTTGATATTACTGTTGCAATTGTTTTGGGGTGCATGAACCATGCCCATGTAAGACAGCAAACTTGATTAATGGTGTATGTGTTCTGAGTGCTCCGCTGATGGGTCTCTCTCCCTCTTCTTGGGTCTTCCTATTCCCTGAGACACAACAATATTGAAATTAGGCTAATTAATAACCATTGTACAATGGCCTCTAGTCTTCAAATGAAAGGAAGAATCACCTCTGTCTCACTTTAAGCCAAAAGCAGAAATGATTAAGCTTAGTAAGGAAGGCACGTCAAAAGCCAAGATAGGCTGAAAGCTAGGCCTCTTGTGCCAAACAGCCAAGTTTTGAATGCAAGGGAAAAGATCATTAAATTAAAAGTACTACTCCAGTGGACGCATGAATGATAAGAAAATGAAACAGACTATTGCTGATGTGAAGAAAATGTGAGTGATCTGGATAGAAGATCAAGCCAGCTACATTTTTTTTTTTACTTTTATTTTAGGTTCAGGGGTACATGTGAAAGTTTGTTACACAGGTAAACTCATGTTACAGGGGTTTGTTTTACAGATTATTTCATCACCCAGGTATTAGGCCCAGTACCTAATAGTTATATTTTATGTTCTGCTCTCCTCTCACTCTTTACCCTCAAGTAGATCTGTGTGTGTTTCCTTCTTTGTGTTCTTAAGTTCTTACCATTTAGCTCTCACTTGTAAGTGATAACATGCAGCATTTGGTTGTCTGTTTCTGCATTAGTTTGCTAAGGATAGTAGCTTCTAGCTCCATACAGGTTTCTGCAAAAGACATGATCT